CAAGAAATTTACATGTTTGCAATGATACACGAGTTCACAAAGGAAAAAAAAAAGAAAGATCTATAATTACAGTTATATAGATGCAGGAAATAAAGGGTACTGTTTCCTTAATTAGTATTTTATTTGCTTCACACCATAAGAAATTTTGGATTTTGAATATATCCACGCATGTGCTTAATGAATCTAAACGAGGGATTGAGAGGCTAAAATATCTTATAATGTAAAATATAGGGAGTACAAATATTACAAATCAGGATTTTTTTTTATCCTCCCAGCCTGCCTTCACACATTATTTTCAGCTTGGACTTCCTACTGCATCTATATAACTACTAGTTTGCATCCAACATTGCATTAGAATCAATGCTTTGTCTTTCAGACATTTCCTTGAAACGCATATCTTCATTCTTTGCATCCTGACCAGTTCATCGAAAATTGGAATGAGTGGCAATGGAATACAACCTATTATACCTCTGCTTTCAACGGTTCTTATCCTGCAATACATTGAGTTCACTCGTTGGAGGGCTCTTGCAACTTGGGAGGCATTTGCACCTGCAAAGCATGATTAAGTTTTGTTCTGAGGAGTAAACTCTCCAGCAAAAATTCTTGAAGACGGGAGTATGTCTGTCTAGGAAGGATTCACTTGAACATCTGAACTTCGAAGCTTCTCAAACCAAGGTTCAAGTTCCTCGTGAAGAGAACACTATCCTCTTACTATGTGACATCATGTCTCTGAGCAAGAATATCTAATTATGTACCAATCGGGAATTGGAGAAAGAAGTACTAAATAAAATTTTGCCGTCTCCACGGAGAGCAGGGAAAACAACAATGCTTTCAAAATATCTTTGTTGGGTGCAATTGTGCATAGCCCAGGTTTAGCATCTTTGTTGGGTTCTATTTATTTCCAGCATAATTCTGACCATGGGATCACATTTCAGCATCACAAATTGGTCCACACAAGAGTTGGATAAATACTTTGCACCGGAACATTTTTTCTAGAAAAACATTATGAATTTAACTAAAAAAATCACAGAAATCTTGATCGGGTTGGGGAAATTGTATAAATAGAACAACCCTATCGTACGTGGAAATAGACACCACTTGGATGAGAAGTTAGTATAGCTCAATTGGTTAGACTCCTGGTCGTGGAACCTGCACACCTTCATTTATGTCCTAGACTTTAGACGGGCGCTCGTATTTACGTTTAACTATTCTTTTATGGCAGGCAACATATCTATCCACAGCGAAACCACGGTGGTGACTTCATAAATCTGAAAATGTGCTGGCCCATTTTTCGGACGTGCTCATAAGGGTGCGTGTGTATGTTCCTAGGGGTGAGGGTGCATGTGTATGTGTGTAAAAAAAAGCACACCCAGTTGGCCTGCAGGATCGTTAATTGTTCTGTCGCTTTCACCTTTATATACTAACATCTAATTTTACAATTTTCCATTTAAACTTCCGTATTTTCCAGTATCTTTTTTAGCTAAAGAGAAATGGTCACCTGTTCTTGTCTTACACCTTCCCTTGCCCCTTGCCAAAAAAAAACAATAATCACAATGTTGAGAATTCGAGATAGGAATGGGTGACATGGGGAACACAACCTTTACTGGATACTGCTGATGAAACATGCCTTTATCTATTCATCTACAAGATTCCTGGAAACAATGCCTTCTTTGTCTCAATCCCCTGCTCCTACTTGAGACCAAGAGAGAACTCACAAAATCGGAATGAGTGACGTCACGAATGCCATACATAGTCTGCGAGTAAAAACAAGTCAAAATTATATATGTTCCTAAGGGCCTGCCATACCAGACACAGTTATAGTTAGTCTACATGCTGATCATCGAATGAGCTTTTGTTACAGGCACCGACAATTCCATTTTCTCACTGAACGATGAGAATTGAATTACAATATTATGTGATTATTCTTCCTATATATAGTTCCCACTTAGACACATCATCACCATCATTATTGCTAGTTGGTGAGCTTTCTTTGGTATTGCTCTAGTTGTTGTTGGTCATATGAAATTCGTGCTTTTTTTTGGACCCGCCTAATTTTTTGGATGCGCTCACTACTACATGTGGCCCATGTTGCCGAAGTGAATGGGGATGAGTTTGGACAGTGCTACGATCCAATTGAAACAAAGTAGACAAAGCTACCGATAAAGTGTCTTACTGAAATAGAAGAAAATGATAAATTATGTGCACGGTGTCAAGTGGCAAATAGCCATGAAGCTATAGTTCTTGCGAGCAATCGCATTCTTCTAGTGTCCATGCGTAAATTTTGCTGAAAGTAATGATGGGTGGGCAGCGAAATTAGTACTATGAAATTAACTTCTTATAATTGTGGACGTAACTTAAAGCCTATGATCCATTATATTTGTGGATGGAGGACTAGAACGTTATCTGAATACTAGATAAATATTTAAGACTATACCAAGGTTTTTTTCTACATAGAAATTTTTTTAAAAAAAAGGAGGACTTTTTTAGCATTCTTTAAGAAATTAGACAGCCTTCAACTAAAACAAAAAAAAAACAAAACTATAAAAGTGTTAAGACCATTTACCAGGCATACTTTCATGTCAAAATAAGACACAATTATCGATATATATATATATATATATATATCTTTGTTTGTATTTGTGGTAATGCTACAATGTGTATTAGGGTATTAGCTGTCTGTTTGGTCATGGAGATGGATGAATTTGAACTATACTTTACTTTCTTCTGGCTAATATGTGGTTGTCCATATTTATCTTTTCTGTTTTGACATTCAATTTGCAAGAAACAAGTTACAAAAAAAAACACCTATGCCAATAATTAGCAGTACAATAACTGTTATTGCGTCCCCCCAGCTTCTCCTCTATAAATTTTGCTATCCATTCAATTGAATCCCCACCTTTTCACATTTCAATTCCCCTATGAAATGAAAAGGAAACTAACTCGAACCTGATGTCAAGCATTGTGGCGATAAGAATGAGTGGCTTCAGGAAGAAGATGCGTACTACCCAAAAGAAGCAGACAATCTGTGGACAAGTTCCAGTAGGCATGTTCAGTACAGAAGGTGTTTGACATCGTTCTGAAGAGTTCTGTTCATGAACACACGAACCCATCATATTGCATCTACGTCGTTGTGATGGCTTTCTCGCCACAGTTGGCATGGCGCGTTGCCAGCATCGCCACCGTGCTCAACGGCCTTCAAGGTGGAGGCGGGACAGTGACCATGGACAACAAGAGATGAGAGCATCGCTCCAAGAGGCATTGCGCGATTATGCGTATGTGCGTGCTCCTTCGTGACAGTTTGCTACGAGAAGAGCGATAGCACCTTACAGTACAGTAATGTCGTTGTCGTGGCTGTAGACTGATGATTAACATAATAATCGAGCAGTCCACTATAGTTTACATGTTAGTGGGAGGGCATGATGGACAATGTTTGACCGTCGGATGGCATTTCGATGTCCGAGATGCTGGAGTATGTGTCCGAATATGTATTTAAAGTTAGGTGTAAATTAGGACTTGGAGTTATAATATATGTTAGGATAGAAGTAAAGTTAGGCTTTTATCATAGGCTCTCGCTTAAATTCCTCCCACATCTATATAACTAGTTGCATGCAAGTAGAAGAGATGCTTTTTCTTTTATTCTTTTCCTTGCCATGAATATCTTCATGCTTTGCTTCCTGACCCATGCATGGAAATTGGAATGAGTGGCACTAGGAATATAACCCATTATAATTGTGCTTGCAACAGTTCTTCTTGAAGTGAATTGAGATCACGCGCTAGATGGCTCTTGCAATACAAGAAACCTGCAAGACATGATTTTGGTTTTTTCCATGGAGGAAACTCTCCCACAACAATCCCTGAAGACTAGAGTACATTTGTGGCCTGGCAAGATTTGGATGTATTTCTTTACTAAACATTTACTAATTTGCAATCTATTTGAGTTTCTGACATTCAAACATAGAAGTCTGTCTGTCTGTCCCTTTATCGATCATCACATGTAACAATTTAAGTCAATAACATTTTTTTACCCCTCAGCTAAGGCTGGCATGAGTTGTGTACACATTACAGCGTCGATCCTCATATGTGAGTTGTGTATTCTTTCATCTACAAGGTTCCTCTAAATTAATACCTAGTGCCATCTTCGTAGTTTAGTTCATGGGAGGCAACACGATCACAAATTGGAATGAGAGACATCAGGAATCCCACACTTAGCAAGAGCTGAATAATTAATCAGTTAACCCCTTACGTTATAGTTTTTTCAGTTCGCCCGTACTGATCATGTGCAACGAAAAAACACGGATGATCATGTTGTTTTCTTAATATGACATCCTGTACTGATAATTTTGTTTGTTTCTGGGAGGCTAGTAATAGGAGACTGGCGAGAGGATTCAGACATTTTCATCGTTGCTCTTATTCCTTTCAGTTCAGTGACTCTAGATTCAGAACTACTAGATTGTTAATGGACATAGTAGTTGCATCATATTTTGCCTAGCTCAGTTAACAGAAGATGTGCTAATTGATTTTTGTTTTGTTTTGTGAAATCACGCTGTCCGGTCTCTCTTTCTATCTTGTGTTGACTCTGTTAGTTTGCAACTTTTCATAGTGGCACATACTAGCAGATCATCTAACCCGGCTTAAACTGTAATAAACCATGCTCCTTATAATTTGTTACTGCTTTCTGGCTTGTCCACAAGAAAACAACATGTCATGAATCCAACACGCACTTTGGACCTGATTCAGAGGTTGCCATGGACAGGGGCGGGCCCAGTGTATATTCAAGGGTATTCAGATGTATACCCAAGATTTTTGGACAAAAAATAGGTATATATACTCTATATTTCGTATATGTATTTAAAAAATTAAAAAAGAAACCTTAAACTGCTCATATTGGACCTTATTTCACCATTTCTTCTCTATTGGGCCTAAACTTCCCACTCCCCTCCCCCTTTCCTCTCAGCCCGCGGTCTAATTGGGCCGTTGTCAACCTTGCATCTCAGCCCATTTCGACATATCCCCAATTCCCCTCCCATCTAACCCTAATTCGCCTCCCCATCCATCCCGACAGTTGCGCAGGCGTGCGGCTGGCGGCGCGCCGCCGAGCAGGCGGGGCTTGTGGCGCCGGCCCGGCCGCGCGACTCGTGTCCTCGTGCTCGTGGTCGTGGGATGTGGGGCGCCGCGCCGGGCGCAGGGCGGTAGGCGGCTGCGCCACTGAGGGCTGCCGGCACCTGGCCTGGCCGGCTGACCGGCTCAGCCGCGCAGGGCAGGACCGCAGAAGCAGGAGCAGGACAGCAACAGCAAGCCGCGCAGGACAGGAGCAGCACAACAGTGACAACACAGTGAGTGACTAAATCTGTACATGCACAAAATTTGAATAAATGTAGTGAAGATTTTAGGATTGGGAGCTGCAATTCACTGATTTAGTGAGTACACAAATTTGAATAAATGTAGTGAAAATTTTAGGATTGGGAGCTGCAATTCACTGATTTAGTGAGAGTGTACTTGCTTGCTTAGTTTGTAGTGGTCTAGTGGACACTGGACGGTAGTTCATAGTTCATACCATATTATCAAATTTGTTTAATTTTCAGAACTGAAACATGAAGACGAAGAAGGGCCAGCTGTTGATTTAAACTCTTTTTTGGAGAAACAAGATGGGGCTTCATTAAAAAAAATTCAATTTGCAAGCTAAGGACAAGGACATCATCGATTATTTTCAAAATATCAAGCGTCGAAAAGTTAATCTCTAAATTGTAAGATTTCTTCCTAATTTATCATTTTCTTTCATTTTTGTATTTCATATGTTATTATGTTGGCACTTTGATATGTTTAGGCTTTTAGGTGTATGAACAATTTTTTTTACCCCTTCTCATTTCGAATACACAAGTTCAAAAACCTGGGCCCGCCACTGCCCATGGACTCCTACGCATACTATTGAGCAATTTGGCCTTCAAAGGAAAGGGTCATGCTGACGAAGCCGATGTAAATCTTTGAGCATTGATCCGTTTTTTCTCAGTCTTAGCTGCATTTTAGTTAGTCTAGCCTTGCATATGTAGGCAATACTGAAAATAGTCCAGGAGTACTAGAATTCAGTTGAGCAATTTCCATTTCTTTCTTTATGTTGTTGACCGATCTAGGAGCTATATCGTGGGATGGCGCGGTTTTTGCGATCCTGTACGCTCGGCCATTAGATGCATGTAACAAACTCCCAGGAGAGGAGAATAAAAGGAGAAGATGAACCCAGAAAAGCTGTGCAAGTTTCAAGCAGCGCATACTCTATCTCAGCTAGCTGCTCTGTTTTCTGAATTTCTTCAGTCTACTGTAGCGAAACCTACAACCGTCAGATAACACAGCACCGGTGAGATTGAGAGTGAAATTGAATGTGGTGGAGCATATTTCCTGACAGGTCATTGATCCAAAATGTATATTGCTTACATCTGCTTGCAATCCTTCTTCACGAGCTTACCATTTGCTTCAGAGGTTTACATCTATTTATTTGAAGGGTGAGGGAGGGTTTTTGCTTCCCTCCCCATGTTTTTCTCCTCTCTTAATGAAATGTTTCAGCAATCCTCTTATGTATTCAACAAAAAAAATGTTTGATGTAATTTTACACTTTTATGACACGTTGTGAAAATCTTCAAGGAAGGAAATAGAGCTAGCTAGCCATGCATGCTAGGATAATGCACTGCATCATTTTCTAAGTCAAATCAATATACTTAACTAACAATCCAACAATTTTGTAGGGAGGGGTATATCCTCAATTCCCATATAAGAAGATGTTATATGACCAATTGTCTCATCAAATAATTCTTCATCCTCAGATATAGCAGAACTTCTGTATGATGAATGGATATATCCTTAATACCCAGCTGACTGGTTTAATATTATCCACTGGATATATTAATTTCTCACACGTGTTTTGAAATTTATTACGCCAATATATGGTGAAGTGCCAAAAGGCGCAATTGGTCAGGCCACATGACTGTTTATGTACCCATACAGCTGCTTTTTGCCAAGCTCACCTAATGTGCTCATAATTTCCTCCATAAATTATATTTTAGGCAGTAATAATAATGATATATTGCTTCTTCTTGATGCTATCCATACCAAGCTCATCTTGATAATATCCTACCTTCTTTCACACTATATATATAGCAGAACATCTTGCAGTAGAGAACTTGCACACATTTTGCTCCTGCATGCCTTCTTGCTAGCAAGTTCCCATTGTGGCCAGGCTTCCGCCGCTGGCCTCAATGGCCAGGGCATAATTCTTGACGAACTCCGCGGGGTTGGAGTCTCCCCGGTACTTAGAGAGCTTAGGTGGTCGGAAGCCTGGTGGGTACAGCTCCTCTTGTAGCTGCCACATCAGTGGGGACTCGAGGTTTACGGCGATGGGGGGTCCCTTCGGAGGCTAGCTTCCCTCGATCCGGAGATACTCCCCCAACACCCGCAATTTTGAAGCATCTGACAAGACCAAGGAATGGTACTGCTCCATAATTTGCATTTACAGGCTGGTCTGTACTCTGCACACGTTATTTTCCAGCTTCAACTTCCTACTAGATCTATATAACTAGTTGCACTGCAAAGTTTCATTAGAATCGACGATTTGTCTTTCATTCTTTTCCTTGCCATTCATACCTTCATGCTTTACATCCTGACCTGTGCATCGAAATCGGAATGAGTGGCGCTAGGAATACAACGCAGTATAACTCTGCTTGCCACTATTATGAAACTACAGTATATTGAGATCACTCGCTGGATGTCTCCTGCACCAGGGAAAAATTTTGCACCTGGAAAGCATGATTTTGTTCTGTTCCAAGGAGGAAACTCTCCCACAAGGCCACAACGATTGCCAAATAATGGAGTGCATCTGTTCATGCAGGATTGACTTGGACATCAGCCTCAAAGAGTGGTACATGTTCCCTGCAGTGAACCTTGTCACTTTACTATCTTAGAATGTCAATGTATTGGAACAAACATGTAACTATGAATGGGGAATTGGATACTAAAGAAAATTTTGCCTTCTCTGCATAGAGCAGAGAAAAAAAAAAGCAAATTTCCGAAAAATCAACTTGCTATCTGCAATCATGTATAGAGTAAGATTGCATCTTATTGTATGCCGGTGTTCTCTCATAATTAGCCATTGAATCATATTTCAGCATCACAGAATGGTCCAAGCAAAGAGTTCGATGGATCTTTTGCAGAGAAACTCCGCAAATGTACAGATAACATTTAGGAATTAGGATCCTTGTGATGTTGTTTGAGTGAATGAACAGTGCAATCATCTTTCAGTAGTAATACCCCTCCATTATTTATATGGTTCGTTGAAGCAAAGGAAACCACCTATACTTGTGTAATTAAAGCGGTGATATCTTCATTTTTTAAAAAAAAAATAAGCATTAACATCAAACAGGGGCGGAGCTAGAACGAAATGGAGGGGTGCTTAATTTACTTTATTTTATATAGAGTTTAAGTTGATACGGTGATCTAAATTTGTGTTGAGAGTGGTGCATACATGGTGAAAACAGTGAGTTATAACTACAAAATTTTCTTAACTGAGTTCCTAGGCCCCCCCCCCCCCATACCGTCGCTCCATCCCTGACATCAAACACACCTCATCTACAAAAGTTATTATTACTTCTGCTACCCTCGTCTTTATATACTAACATATCTTTCTCTTTCCACAATGTTCGATTTCAACTTCCACAATTTCTATCTTTGTAGCTAAAGAGAAACAACAACCACACATTCCTATCTTACAGCTTCCCTAGCTTGCAGTATCGAGATAACTAGGAATGAGTGACATCAGGAACGCAACATTTACCATTTCCCCCACGCTATGTCGACGCAGTCTAGCAGCAGTATTCAGTATGGCATGTGATTACTCCATCCCATCTCGTGCAAGGATGCAACTGGCCATCGGCTACACCATCTCTCTTCCAGAAGGCTGCAAGAACACCGACAACCAGCAGGCAGCAGGCTCATCTATATGCTCAGTATTCTGCTTCTGTTAATGCTTTAGTGTCATGCCAGTGTCATCGCCATGGGTCACAGTAGATTCCATTTGAATCTCTGAGGTTGAACTTGCGAAGAAGTAAGATAATGGTAGTGAAAAGTCTAAACGAATCAGTGCTGCATCGACAGATATATGGACTTAATAAACAGTGGTAAAGCCAGAAAAGAGAGAAGTAATAATGTGTGCATGCTAGTATGACGTTCTATTACATCAAAGTATACATGCTCAGCTATTCAGAGTTAACATTAAGATGCTTAATTGTTATCATAGTGAGGCTAGAGGATTTAATTTGGTGGCCTCTTGAATCAATTTTTTGTTCCTAGTTTGCAAACTAAATAAATTTTTTGTGCAGTAATTTTGGCACTTCAAATACTTTTGCAGTACCTTCGCTGAATTCATAGACAAGTATATGCTGAATTCATTATATTTCTTGGCGACGAACGCCGGCGACGACGCATATCTTTTTTCTTTCAGTATTGCGGCACACGCACACGTATTTGGAATGGACACACAAGAACAGAAGCCTTTCAGCAACAAATGCCTTCTTTTTTTTCTCCGTTATTCGCACTGAATCAGCTAATTATCACAAGCGCACATACTGCAGAGCAACTAATTTGGCTTTATAAGTCTCACGCCAGCACGCATGATTACTTGACCCGGACTCTACTACATGCACTTCTCCACTAATCCCTGCAACACATGCATGTACGTACTTATCCACTAAGTAACTAACTAGCCCACTAATTAAGGCATGCAACATATGCACGTTGTAACTAGCTAGCAACTTGACCCATTTATGAATTGGCCGGCCTCAAACTGAACACATCAAGTTTCCAGCCATATGCAAACACGTCTAACACATGATGTGATCACAGTAAACAAAACTAATTAACCATAAAAGAATGATATGCAACAAGAATTAGTGCTAACAAAGTATTGATTTGACTTAGAAAATGCTGCAATGCACATCATCCTAACATGTCTAGCTGCATTTCTTCCTTTTAAAATCTTCTTGCATGATCCTTCCCTTTGATGGCCAAATTTCCCAACATGTCAACCTACTAGTCGCAAGGCCAAAGAATGCAACAACAGCTAGTATGGACAGGCCAAAGTTCCTGCTGCCTCTCATGTCAAATGCAAGCAACATCAGGAAGCTATATAGCAACACCAGTATAGGTGAAGAGAACGACAGGACAGAGAGAGCCAGCTCTTAATTTGTTGTCACATTCTGCTATATATGTAACTGCCCTTCCAACATTGGAGAGAACAAATTTGACATTTACAGCTTCCACCAGCATAGACTTGTATTATTTATGATGAATCTCATTGCTTCAGGTTAATTAAGGAAAAAGTGCTATATTCTTGATATACTACGTACATATCAGTGCAGGCCACAGGTTTGGATTCATGGCACATTGTTTTCTTAAGGACAAGCGGCAGGCTTTTATTAAACTAACGCAGTCAACACAAAGACAGATAGAGAAATTATCGCAGCTAATACCTTGATTTCACAAAATGAAAAAATAAAGTCGACCACCGCATATATGCTGTTAATGAGACATTGTTTATTTTTTGTTGAAATGTATGAAATCTGGCCTCTACATCCAAAGCGAATGTACAGAGCTAAGTTAATTGAGACAACACATATGATGCAGTTAATGAGTTATGACAAGTTAGTTTTTTTAATGAAAAAGTACTATCAGGTCTTGCCTAGAAGTTATATATTAAAAATATAATATTTGGAGACAGGAGTACCAGTTTATCCAAATATTACAAATGTTGTAACCAATCAAAAACTGCTAAACTAATACACTCGTTCACCCTACACTGAACTGAAGTGAATTGAACAAGAGCCTACAATCTCTAAAATCCTCTGGCTGGCCATCAGTGTTCTACTATCAGAAGTAAATAGCATGCCGGGCCAGCCATTTACTCTTGGAACTTAAGACTGGGCTGCAGATCATTCAAATGGACTATGATTATCTTTGATTTCTATTGTGGATGATCAATAAGGACCAACTAAAACTATGTTTGCTGCAGTACCAGGCCTTCGTAAACATACTGTCCAGTGAAGTCGACAGGTTATTGGATTCTCAAAGAGTGTGGCATCCCTGATGTCGCTCATTCCAATTTGTGACCGTGTTTTCTCTATTGATTTAACAAGAAAGAAAGTATTGTTTCAGAGGAATCTTGTAGATGAAGGATACATGCAGAGGAGATGAAGGTGTATATATATAGGCCTTTATAGTTGACTGTCTATTGATTTATTACATGTGAATATGGCCATGTTTAGTTCCAAAGTTTTTCTTCAAACTTCCAACTTTTTCCATCACATCAAAACTTTCCTACACACACAAACTTCCAATTTTTCTGTCACACCGTTCCAATTTCAACCAAACTTCCAATTTTGGTGTGAACTAAACACAGCCATAAAGCTTCCAAACAACCGAATTTAATAACTGAAACTCAAATAGCTTTGTAGCTAGCTAGTAAATTTTATACAGACTTCTCCTCCGGCCTATCTGTACCAGGATGATCTTCAATGTGCTATAATGGAGAATCATGATCAGGAGTACAACAGTGCCTTCTTGGAACTGGAAGATACGCACGAGGAGAGATGATAACCTCATAAAATGACTAGAATTCCCAATAGCGAGCGTACTCGCTTGTTCGTCGTCTCCAGCATGCTCTGACCCTCCCATTTTACTTACAGTGAGAGGATAACTTCATGGCTAGGGTTGCTGCCGCGACCGGTAGTTCGGAAATTCAAGTGGTCACCAGCTCGCTGCAAGAATTACACAAGTATAAGCTGGTTCATTTCCTTTAATTGAGAAACACAATACTAGAGGGGCCTAATAAGCAAAATATCACTCTCTACGGCTACCCAAGGACCAATCTTGTTTGTGACCATTCAAAGTGACCTGAAGTCTTGGAGATCCTGACCGTTTTTTCGTACAAATAGGGGGTTTCCATACAAAAGATCCATCCCACTCTTGGCATGGACATATCTCTTTGTTCACCATAAGAGCTGTTATTTGGTTCATATGGGGCGTTTCCACGAAAAAAAAACGCACGGACCAATCTAAGACACGTGCGGTGATCCGACAAGCAAATATGAGAAATTTTATGGTCCTTGAAAAAGTATCTCAAGGTACCTAAATTTTACACTAAAATTTTTGGTACCTTGAGATACTTGGTAGCTGCAGGTATGAAATTTTACACTAGAAAATATGGTACCTTCCAGTACTTTTTCAAGAAGAGCAATTCTACGGTCTTTGATGAGATACCATGAGGTATCAAAAATTTAGTATAAATTTTGGTACCTCATAGTATCTAGGTACCAAGAGGTACCAAATTTACAATAGAAAAAGTGGTACCTCCTCAAGGATTGTAAAATTGCTCATACTGGAAGGAAAAAGATATGCGTCGTCGCCGGCGTTCGTCGCCAAGAAATATAATGAATTCAGCATATACTTGTCTATGAATTCAGCGAAGGTACTGCAAAAGTATTTGAAGTGCCAAAATTACTGCACAAAAAATTTATTTAGTTTGCAAACTAGGAACAAAAAATTTGATTCAAGAGGCCACCAAATTAAATCCTCTAGCCTCACTGTGATAACAATTAAGCATCTTAATGTTAGCTCTGAATAGCTGAGCATGTATACTTTGATGTAATAGAACGTCATACTAGCATGCACACATTATTACTTCTCTCTTTTCTGGCTTTACCACTGTTTTTTAAGTCCATATATCTGTCGATGCAGCACTGATTTGTGTAGACTTTTCACTACCATTCTCTTAATTATTCGCAAGTTCAACCTCAGGGATTCAAATGGAAATGCATGGCGGTATGAGCATCACAATCGGAATGAGTGGCATCAGCAATATAACACTTTACTTGACTCAAAGAAAACGCCCAACAATTCTACAATAATATGCATCAATGTTGGCTCTTGGATATGGCAGAACTGCATCAAGCCATCAGCGTGTTACCAATATCCAATCGCTCTTAACAAGAACTGTGCACGCTAATTATGTTCATGTAAGGCGTGAGTGCCTAGGAAACCTCAGTGTGATCCCTCAGCCTCACCCTCACATGACTGACATAGCGTGAAAATAGGAGTTGGATTAATACAACTTAGTGCTTCTCATTCCTCAAGTATCAATAAAATTGTTGTAAACAAACTCTCTAAAAACAATTTACACCAACGATATAATAAGCAGTTGTCATCTGGCAAAATTTAGTCCAAATTTAAACTACACAAGGAGAAAAGAAATAACCAAATTCAGTAATGAATA